GATTTCCGAGTAGGCACAGTAGGCACGTGCCTAGGGGTGCCGGCATTCTATAGGGCACCTAAAAATTCAAACTTTGCCACTCTCAGGTCCCAGCAGGGGGCAGGGCCGGCTGAGGGTCGACAGTGTCACCTCTTAACGGGGCCAGTGAGTGTGGGCTGGGGGGCAGGGCTTGGCAGAGTGGGTCACTGGGGGAGTTCATGAGGCAGCTCTGGGCAGAGGGGGTGGGGGGTTCTGGACAGTGGGCAGAGGGAGCGCTGGGTGGCACCTAAAAGTTAAATGTGGTGGGGATCCCCTGCCACCCAAGGTGGTTAAGAGTTTCCGAGCAGCAAGGGTACCCTGCAGTTCCTGGCTGCCTCCAGGCAGCGGGGCCCCCAGAGCTCCAATCTGCGGGGGTGGGGAGGAATGACCACCAAGCCCCTGCGCCTAGGGGCGCCTAAGTATAAATCCAGCCCTGACAATGGGCTAGTACACACAGTAAAAGACCCAGTTGCCCTGGCCAAAAGTCCAGTTCCCAACTGGAATCAGTTAAAAATATTAGCAGGGATCCCAGCTGGGGCTGATTTCCCAGTGCACCAGGTTTCTGAATCTTTAATTCCACCATCGGCAGGGCACTGATTGGCCATTGGCCCAGGATTGGCAGGACTGGGGCGGCTGGGGGTGTGTGCAGCTGAGTGGCGGTTACGATCTCCCCATGGTGCCTTACCCTGTCTCTGCCTTCCAGGGCTCTGCATCGCCCTGTGCCTGGGGGGCACTGTGGCCCAGAATCATGGCTTACAAGGTAAGGCTGACTCCTCCTGGCTAACCTTCCCCAGCGCTCCCGGCTGCCTGGAGTCTCTGGCCTCCGCCCCCTCCAGTTCCTTTCCCTTGTGGGAGGAGAGCAGAGTAAGGGGTCGGGCGAGCCGGGAGCAGCCCCTTGGTGTGGGTATCTTGGGGTGGGTTTATAGAGCAGGGTGGGTGCATGCAGGGGAGAGGAGAATGCCCCTGTGTAGGCCTCCCCTTCCCTCCCCAGCCCCGTGGCCAGCAGAGAATAGACACTGGGGCCCACGGCTCTACACTGGGGGCTGGAGTGAGGGGCAGATCCCCTTTGTAGCCAAGGGCCGTGTTATTGACCAACCTGAATCAAACCCCTGATGGCTCAGACATTAGAAGTGGCATTTGTAATTCTCCCCCCGCTACCGTCTAAAATCGGACTGAACTGAAACCGGGGACCCACGTGCCCAGCTGGGGGGCGTTTGGGATCCGGACTCTGCGCTTCGAGCCCAGCTCTGCTGCGAAAATCCCAAGATGGGATTCGGGCAAATTCCCATTGACCCACTGGGGTCCCCCAGTGCTGCTCCCACCTGCTCCGTCTGCTCCCATCCCAAGCCCTGCAGCCGGCTAAGCTGCGCTGGGATCCTTCCCCTCACGCTGGCCAGAGGGACGGGTCCCAGTGGAGCCCCAGACACCGGGCAGCTAAAGGATCCAGGAGCCCCCGTAGGCAGGTCACAGTCTGGGTCATGGGAGGCAGCTCAGGATCCAAACTAGCCTCGCGCCCGACTCCGCTCTCAGTCAATCCAGAGCAGAGTCGGGCAGGAACTTCCCAAGGACCCATTTTTTGCCAGAAAATTCCAATTCGGTTCAGAGGAATGTTTGGTTTTACTCAGGGATAAATTGTGTGTGGGAGTGGGGGAGATGAAATAATTTTCAAAATGAAAAAATCCCATTTTCCGGTTTGAAGCGAGGTTTGGGTTTGTAATTGACGCTAATGAGAGTAATGACGACGGGAACAAAAAGGAGAAAAATAAGGTGAGATCAAAAAACATTTCATTTGCAGGGCCGGCTCCAGGCACCAGCCGAGCAAGCTGGTGCTTCGGGTGGCAGATTGTAGGAGGCGGCATTCCGCCCAATCCTAGGGCAGCACGGCCGCTTTTTTGTTGTTGTTGTTGTTGTTGTTCCGCTTCGGCCGCCCTGTAGGGGGCAGCGGCATGGAGGACGG